GCCACCGCTTGGACTGAAGGGCTGGAGACATGATCGGGGACTTGACTCAGGACTTTCTTTCTTTTTTCTCTCCCCCACCCCCTTTGCTTTTAATTTTTATACCCGGAAAGGATCAGCCCATCAAAAGGCAGCAGGGAGAGGGAACCCACAATTGATGCCTTTGCAGCACGACGCCCCCCCCAGAATAGCTGCCTAAGGCAGGAAGGGGGGCAGGCCAGAGAGGGGAGAGGGGAGCAAGCAGCAGACTCCTCCATCACCCCCACCCCTGGCCTTGTCGTTCCAAATCCAACCCACAGTTAAGTTCTCGTGCCTTTGCAGAGGAGGTGTTAACACGTGCGTGGCAAGTCCCCCTGACCACCGCCCATTCAAGTCGGAACAAGCCCCGGGCAATGAAGGGCTGCCCAGCTGGGAGAAGAGGTGGAGGCCGAAGCCGTCTAGCCGGCTTTTGCTCACCTCCCAGGGAGTTGCAGGTCTGCAGCAGGCGAAGGAGCCGGCCTGCCGGTGCTCAGCTACTGCTGCTGCTTTGGAGTTTGGCCGAAGGGCGGCTGGGGACACTTTCCTTTTGTTTTCGATGCTGGGCGTGTTGAACCCAGAGCCGCCGAAATCCGCCCCCCTGCACCCAAAACATCCCCCCCCCATACACACACACAGTGAGCTCAGGTATTTGTCTTTCGGCGGGGAATCGCTTGGGAGCTGCCAGTGGGACTGGTCGGGCAGCAAGCTGGCGGGTGGTGGAGATTCAGAATGGGGCAAGGGCAGCAGCCACTCACCTTACTCAAGGTCCACAAGCGGTGCTGGTGCGGTGAGTTCTGGCAGAGAGCGAGCAGAGAGCGAGCAGTGTAGTAGAGGCAGCCACGTGGAGTCCTTTGAGCGGGAACGGCAGCGCAGGAAGGAGAGGAGGCAGAGCAGAGGTCTAACTCTGATTTATGAGTGCTGGGACCGGAGGGGTGGAGGCCCACAGTGGGGAGGAGTGGAGGCAGAATGGAAGTATAACCCCGCCTTATGAGTGCTTCAGCCATGGCCAGGGGGGACAGCGCGTGTGCCAGCAGAGAGGGCTCTGCGTGCCCACTTGGGCACGCGTGCCACAGGAGGAGGAGGAGATTGGATTTATACCCCGCCCTTCACTACCCAAAGGAGTCTCAGAGCGGCTTACAAACTCCTTTCCCTTCCCCTCCCCACAACAGACACCCTGTGAGGTAGGTGGGGCTGAGAGAGCTCTGACAGAAACTGCTCTTTTTCAAGGACAGCTGTGCCAGAGCTTGTGACTGACCCAAGGTCACATCAGCAGGTGCAAGTGGAGGAGTGGGGAATCAAACCCGGTTCTCCCAGATTAGAGTCCACACACTTAACCACTACACCAAACAGGTTCACCATCACCGTACAAGGGCAATGAGAAAGCAAGATCTGACTAAACAAGGTGAAGGGGTGATTTATCAATCTAAGAGTAAGGCTGGGGAGGATGGGGTGACTGACATGAGAAAATTATGGGGGAGGGGCAACCCTGTATCAAATCTGGATCCCCTTGCTCACCCTTTGATCCTTGATAGTAACAAAATAGTACTGAACATCCTACCCTGTAATGGTCAAATGATAAGCTGGATGAACAAATGGGCAGGTCTTATCTGCTACATAAACATCCAACTTCCATTGACTAAAATCTGCGGAAAGAATTCCAGGTTTCCTGAAGGGAGAGTTAGACTTCATTTTTATTCCCCATGGATACCAACGCTAATACTCTTGATGCAGGAGTATTTTATTAAAATTTCAGGTCTTCCCGGTAGTCATTCCATCAAAACGTGAAGACCCCCCCCCCTTAAGGAATTTGGAGGTTTCATCTCAGCTAAGGAGAAATAAAAAAAGAACACGCACCCAAGCCCGATCAAATATAAGATGATCATGAACTTCTTATCTACCTCATCTCCCTGGAGCCAGCATCTAAGCAGTGCACTGATTTCATGAAAAATCCAAAGCACCCTTGAAAACCTGAAGAACCACCACTTCAAAATGACTCCTTATTAATATCTACCTACCCACAGCCGGAGTGAGCTCCCGTCTCTAGTTCCAGCTCCTGCCAACCTAGCAGTTCGAAAGCAAGAAATTGCAAGTCGATAAATAGGTACCACTTTGGTGGGAAGGTAACAGCGTTCCGTGCACCTTGGTGTTTAGTCATGCAGGCCACATGACCACGGAAACGTCTTCAGACAGTGCTGGCTCTTCGGCTTTGAAACGGAGATGAGCACCGCAACCCTAGAGTCGGATTCGACTGGCTTTCGAGCAAGGGAACCTTTACCTTTACCCACAGCCGAACATGACTACTATAGTAAACAATGTTACTGACATAGGTGAAATTGAGGGCACTGAGAGAGCTTATTAGCATCCATTGGTGGCTTCCCACTCAGATATCAGAACATCATGTTCCAGAGATTACAAAGGCTCATTGCCACCCAAGACGAAATAAGAGACAGACACAAGTGCTGGGTTTAACTATTGGGCCACTTTATCAAATGACATCTTAACTGTAATCAACGGCAAGGGCAAAAAATTCCTACCCGGCCCCCAAATGGGCGACCAGCCAAGCCTGTACTAAGAACAGGGCGGGAGGGTGGGTCGACGACTCGGCGAAACTCTGCCGAGCGAGGGAGGGTGGCCATCTTAAATCTCCTGGCCCCTCCTCCCCTTCAATCCAAATGGGCCAATTATGGCCCGCCACGATTGCCTGTCCCATTCATCTGGGCGGCAAATTTGCCTCATCAGCCCAACGGCCGTTCAGGCCGAGGGCTGTTGATCCAGCTTATGACTCTATATGAATTAAAACACAAGCCGACCATAAACCGGATGAACAGTTCTGCTTAGTCGAGATGCCTTTAAACAGCCATCATGGAATGAGAAACCGGCTCTGCCCTTGAGTCCTTTCGGTCACGGGTTTTTGGATGGTTCAGCTGCGGAACCAACCTCTAAAGAAAAAGAAAAGGACCAACTGAGAATATTATCCTGGAATGTGACTGGGTGGGCTGCTAGAATGAGGTCTAGCAAAGTTAAAGAATTCCTGAGCAAATTTGACCTTATATTACTTCAGGAAACATGGGTAAAAAATAAAGAAGAAGAAGAGAAGAGATTGGATTTATACCCCGCCCTTCACTTGGAGTCTCAGAGCGGCTTACAAACTCCTTTCCCTTCCCCTCCCCACAACAGACACCCTGTGAGGTGGGTGGGGCTGAGAGAACTCTGACACAAACTGCTCTTTTTCAAGGACAGCTGTGCCAGAGCTTGTGACTGACCCAAGGTCACATCAGCAGGTGCAAGTGGAGGAGTGGGGAATCAAACCCGGTTCTCTCAGATTAGAGTCCGCACACTTAACCACTACACCAAACTGGCTCTCTCTGGCTTCACCCCATATTTTTTACCAGCAGCTGATACCGGAAAATGTGGATGGTGTTCTGGAAGTGTCAGCTACGCTGCCATGGGGGTTGGCGAGCTCGGTCTGTGTCTGGTTAATTGCTACTGCATTCCTTTCTGTGCTTGTTCTGCTTTGCGTCGAAATGCTTATCAATACAGATGTGCAGGAGAGAGTTGTATTGTCTCGGTTTCTCCTAGGTGCCGTGGGAGAGTGTTAGTTCTCAGCTTTAGCTACCTAACAATCTCCAGGCTTTATCCTGCACACGGGAGGTTGCCTAATTGGCCAGTGCTCGGGGGGGGGGGGGGGCCCTATATCCTATTATGCCCATGGGGCAGCTGCCATTCTTAACAGTGCTTATGTTACTGCATCCTATAGCTCTGCAATAAAAGTATTACCGTTCCTGAATGCATTGTTGGCTGTGGGTTCTGACAGGAGGTTTGATTTGTCTGATCTCAATAATCCTCAAAATCAGGGTTACTGAGTTACCTAATTGTCCTCCTTACTCAACGGCATTTATGGAGTTTTCTATAATTCTGATGAACATCTATCTCCCACCATATATCCATAAATTTAAAATATCACAGTGCTGGACCCAGTTAGAGGACTAGTTGGAAACTTTGTCCAGGATTCATCCTACAACCTCAGTACTTATGGCTGGAGATTTTAATGCTAGAGTTGGGGAGACAAATGAGGACCTTTGTTTGAACAGCTATAGAACTCCGATAAAGGAATCTCCAATGATGAGTTACTGAAGATCTAAAGCGAAGAAAATTAATGGATCGGGCAGACATTACTAAAGAATGATCTGATATTATTAAATGGATACACACAGTTTGATGGGAAAGGAGATTTTACTTGAATAAATAATTTAAGAGCAAGTGTAGTAGACTATTTTGTTGCTTCTGCCGACTTATTCGGTGTCCAAAACCCAGGTGTCATCAGGAGGTCCACCAGCGGGGCCAGAACTCCAGAAGCCCTTCGACTGTGGCCCCCCAAGCACCAAGAATACAGAGCATCACTGCCCCAGACATAGTGTTCCATCTATACCTTGCGGGCTAATAGCCACTGATGGCCCTCTTTCCCATAGTTAGTTGAATAACCGTAACAGAATTCAACATACTGAAAACTTAGTACACGCCTTGGATGAGCTCATTCTGAAACTAATTAGCTAGGTGCCAGGAGACTTCCTGTTGACCTAATTTTAACAGTAAGGTATATAAAAGGATGTCACTCAAAAGCTGAGACAAGTGGAACAATCTGGAACAAAAGAAAGGCCACAACAGGAAGAACATTCAGCGTATCCAGGTGACAGGAACAAAGACAAAGAAAAAGAAACAAGGACAATGTTGGCCATTTTGATTACCTTGCTACTGGGCCTCCTGATTCTAGGCTTTCTGAAACAGCACTGGTCACGCAGGTCCTACCCTCCTGGGCCTTTTGAGCTACCCCTCATTGGAAGTATTTGGCGATTAGTCTACAAGTTTTCGAAAGATATTCTATTTAAGGTACGTCATTCCATATAATTAATCCATGTAGTTAATTAAGTAATTAAAGAAAGAACTATTATTTTCTTACTAGGCTTACACAGACCTGTTATGCACAGGCGTTTTCCTCGCTTTCACCGTGCGTGTCCATCGGGTTTTCTTCTTCGTTCTGCATTCGTTTTCCTTCCTTCAGTGCTCAGTTC